CCCCCCCCATCCAGAAAAGGGTCAATTGAGGTCTTAAGCAAGCCTGTCCATAAAGGGACAAATCCGTTAATTCTACGAACCAAATTATCCTAACCTGCCCCACAGCTGCGTCAAATATGCCTCGTGGCCGAAATTCCAGTTTGCGTTGAAGTGGAGCCAAAAATGCCCGAAAAGTCCTGGGGCCCGTTTCTCGAAGGTCCCGGTAATTTAAGGGGCCCATAAAGCTGTTCTGTTTTCATTTAAGATGGGGGGGTTCTAAGGTTTTGAGAATGATACAATTAAACTGGCAGCTAAAGCAAAAAAATGGACTGTTTAGGGTTTCAGAGCCTGCTTCTCTATTCTTTAACTTTTGAAGTTAAAATATGGCTTCGAGCCCCTTACGTTACCGCCGGGACCTTCGAGAAACAGACCCCAGGTCACCAACATCCATTGCCCACTAAAACTTTCTATCGGATGAACCGAGAGTTATAGGAGCAGATACACACAAGAGACATACGCACCACTGGACGAGTTTTGCATCCCATAATGAGCATTCGGGTGGAACAAGCAATACTAAATTAACTGACCAATCATCTATCACCTTGAAGCAAACTCATGGGACTTGAAATATTGATAACTTTAAAAACGAACTATAAAACGGTTTATTTCTCTATAGGTCATTGATATCGGCCGATGTGTTGGACAATGTCCTAAGAAGAAGAAGGCGCGCTGTCTTCACTGGTAAGGATTTGAAGCATTTTCCCAATTTTTTTTTAAAATAAAAATGTATCAGTGGATATCAAAAACACACGCACACGGCAAAATTCTTCACTTGGACTTTAAAACCTTATATACCTGAACACGGTCGACAAAACTCTATCTATCAGCTTATTTATTACCTTTCAGGGTTGATAATCCTTTATGGAGCCCAGGCTCTGCTGTTCCGTTTAAAGTGTGTCTGTTGTCGTCCCCAGCTGGACAGAATAAAGCAGAATGTCGCCCCAGGTCCTTTGAGGATAGAGCCTTGTATCCTAGCAACGGTGTCTCTAACACTGTTAAGGTCATAAAACGCTGTAAATGCTATTAACACTTGCGTAACCATAGAAACAGTAAAATCCACTTTCAACAGTCCTTCAGGTTGAATTCGAAAACCTCTTATGGATTTTGGTTCTGATAAGATTACAGGCAGGAGTATCAAGCCGATTGATCCAGGGCCTTTTTACACCACCCCTTCCCCCCCTCTCCCCTCCCCCCTCCCTTTACCAGGTAACTTTTGTCGAAACCTGGGTTTACACGCGTGGTAGGGTTGAGATTTCTCAATTTTTTTTTTAATGTAAACGCTGGCTGGAGCTAACTCAGTTTGGCACTTTCAATCAAATGATTAGGTTTGTTCCTTTTTTCAATTTTTTTTTCATACTTTATGACTTTCCACCTTGCCGTCAGTCTCGACTCTTTCGTAACCTTTCAAGTGAGGAGCTGAGAGCTATTCTCAGATCGAAACATTTGCAAATACAGACGAGTAACTTGATTTTTCGTTTAGTGAACCTTGACTGCAAATTAACATGGGCTTGTGTAAGGAAACTCTAAACCCTGTGTACAGTCCTCATTCGCAGGGAACTACTCTTGGGTTATTTTTTGGTTCCTAAGATCGCGTGGACAACCCATCAGATATCTTTTAATCAACCCTCTGCGAAAACATCCCAGAAACGCGCTTGGTGTGTTAAAAATTATTTCCAGGAGACCAGATTCCATCAACTAAAAAAAAGATTTAGGAAGGCAGATATCCCTAGATTAATCCTCTTTGTTTGTATAAGAAATATAGGTTCTCATCCTCATAATCTTCTCAACAAAGAGAGGAAGCTTTATATTACTTTTTCAGCAACTTCCATCAAATTCAGACCATTCAGATGACAAATTCGTAGCCTACTAATGATCTAATCCAAGGGCCCTTGTAAGTGGGTTTTATTCTTTGGTCAAAGCCATCAAAGTTCTTTAATTTCTCACTATAGTTGCACTCGACCATATTACACATGAGTTGATGACAATGTTGAAGCGCAAAATGATCATGAGAATGTACTTCGGTGATATTCTCCCACACAGAAGTGTTCGTAAATCCTAAAACCGCTAAAGCAGATATCTCTCAGCTGCAGGAAAGACGAAAAAATTAAAAATCACAGGTTTTTTTTCGTTGAGTACTTTATTTCTGTGAGATAGCAGATAAAGACTTGACATAATCGGTTAATGAATCGAACATATGAATAATACCTAGTCGTGTCCATGAATATGATTAGCACGCAAGGAGATTTATGAGCACTTCATGTATGATGCACGCACATACACTTGCACTCATTTCAAAGACGTTTATAGCTTCACCTGCAATAAAAGCATTTAAAAACGCAACGTGGTCTATTACAATCTCTAAGATTTATTTGGGTATTACAGTATTTTACAGCCTCGTTATAGAAAAGCTTCTAAGTTTCCGGCGTGGCGACTTTAATGACTGAATTCATGAGAAACACTCAGTATCATACAACATAATAAGAAGGACAATCTTTGAAACGGGAAACAAAAGAATACATTTTGATGAAAAGGCAGTGGGGCCTTTTAAAATATTGGAAGATTTATCTTAAGCCGAGTCAACTTCATTTTGCCATCAAATTTTCTCAAAATGGATGGTTCCTAGTTTGTTGCCACAAGCAAACATCATTGCAGTTTTAACAGTTTCCAGAATGTCCATGATTGATTTTTACAATGCATCAGTAGGTTACTTCAATCTTATCCAACAATATATCATTTCCCCAAGCGCGATCCTAATTAAACAATCACGAGACTTAATATTTCGCCGGACCAATTTAATGCTGTGTAAGCGGAAGTCGTTCGAGAGATGGGGAGGAGGAGAGCCACCCTGCCCCTCCCTGCTCCGTTTAATATTGATACTCTCTTGACTAAGATTCCCCCTCTTCCCCCTCAGAAAAACTATATTAGGAAAGAAACACAATTCTGTACAATGCAGCACTCTACTTTCTTAGTTGTTTATCCATAAATTCCCAAGATCCAATTAGGAATTCTCCTTACTTACTGCCAAACCTTCTAAATCACACTTGATAATTTGGTCTTATTCCAGAGTAACACCCTCTAACTGATAACCTTGTCGTTCTCACAACTTTTTTACAAGATAGCCGATTGGAGTTTCAAGGAGAAGTTGCATGTTTATCACTTCTGGGAGTTAAAATGAGTAAAAGTGTTAGCATAGAAGGAGTTCATCTGGTGATAGCTCTAATATTTCACGCTGAATAATACCTTCAGTTTTTTCTCAATTTAAACTTTCCATCACAGTAAGCAATGTTTTCTACAACTGCTCCTTAAATGGAGGATCAATACAGAGGTCTTTTCCTGTTCAAGACTCTGTAACTGAGGCTTTTAAAGGCATATGCACTCATTGACCACCATATTGGACAGTTCCTCGATTTTGGGTTCACCGTCCTTGAAGTACAGAATGACCAGGGGCTCATAAGTCTTAGGTACACAGCAGGGGTCCCCTGGAGCGCTAGGCTTGATCTTGTTGTACAAAGTCATGATGGAGGTGTGATGATTTTTTTTTTCAACTCCCCACATAAAAGAACACTGTCCTGCGCAGTAGTTTGGGTAGAAACCTTTAGGCGCATGTATCCAATTCCACCGCAAATCCTTTCGAAAGTCCACGTACAGCGAGCGAAGGCAGCAGCGAGTCTCTTTTGGTCGTATCCGGCAGTAATCTGAATTAAGAGATCGCCTTTTTCTTTTTGTCGACTGCACTCGTTCATTAGGCACAAACCAGGCGAGAATATGCGGCCATGGCTCGTCGTCTTCGCTTTCCACATTGTTGAGCACTGGATCGACATCGCCCAGATAAATTGGAGAGACATGCCAATCGTTTCCCGTAGGTAAAGAACTTGTAACAGTCACTGTCAATCCGTGGTTCGTTTCTGAATCATCTAACCATCCCTGAACCACTGAGGTCACATCGAAAGAGATCCATTTCTCTTCAGTGGACACGCTCCATTTTGTACTTAGCACAGTGGAGCAGCCATTTATGTTGTTTTTGTTGTATTTTCGTGTGTTTTCACAAACATCAATTCGCACATCACTCACAGGATGTCGCTGGTTTGGTGTCTGATAAACGCGCAGCTCTGCCAGAGACACGCTAACTTTCTCCTTCACCAGCCTACTGGTATTAAACCTCAGCCAGTATATATCTTTGAAATTCCTGTCTTTAGAACCTGTGAAATAGTCAAGTTATTCTGTCAGTTCGTTACCTATTTCACCATATCGTTCCCTGTTGTACAGTGATAGAGCATCAGAGCGCGAAATCTTAAGATCTAAGATTTGATTCCTCATGGGAACTCAAATCTTTCCTTCGTCAAACTCTCGTAACAAGACTTTGGAAAAACATCTCTCTTCATCTTGAACTTCGTTTGGAGTTTTTTTTTTCAATGTATACAGAAACTTATTCAAGAACAGTGTAACCTCGTCCACTTACTATCGGATATCTCGGACTCGCCATTCTCTCAAACTACAATTTTCGTCTCCTTCACAGTTAGATTAACAGAGTTCCAAGCGTATTTTCCTGTTCTTGTAGTTACGGCTGTCATGACAAGTTAGCAAGAGAAAAGTGAATGTGGCGATAAACTAAAATCTCGGTATTCATTAAATGAAGACGATGGATCATGAAACAACAAAACTAATTAAAAGTTTTTTTAAATGTAAATCAGCTTTAAGGTTATCATGGCATACTCACTTGATACAGCCGTTCGTGCGACCTCTTTTTCCAGCAGAATTCGCTCAACTCTCTTCGCGAAAAACTCTTCGGTGTCAATCTGGGAACGGCAAATTTTCGTCTCAAGTAAAAGCTTGTCTTTTTCCCTCACCGCACTTTTGTAGGTCTGCAAGACCTGACGACTCACATTCGAAGCACTTTCACTTTCATCTGGGGGCTTCTTTAAACCGAGCTTCGCCAAAATTTGTCCTTGGACAGTAATCAATCTTTTCTCTCGTTCCACTTTGCTGTTGCACAACTTACATCCACTTATAGTAGGGACTTGGACGACATTTATCCATATAGCGGACCAAATACAGGTGGAAAAGATCCCGAACATTTGAAATAGCACCGACATTATTTCGAATGAGATTGCACCGAGAGTTGAATTAATAAGGAATATAGTGCTAAATGAATTAAGATCTCTTCAAATGGCAGCCCCATTGAAAGCACCTCCTTTGATAATTCAAGCTTGAACTGAGGTGACGAAACAATACTGATGGCTCGCAGGTGGTAATTAGAGCTTATGAAGGCAAAAATATTAATTGTTAAAAGGGATTACAGTTTTCAAAACAAGAGAACTCTCTCTGAACGACCGTTTGTCTGCGTAGAGTAGCTCAAAATGTTCCGAAAATTTTTGCATATTGTTGAAGAGATGGAAACGTCTGGCAAAGTTGTCTTGATGTTCATTTAATATCGCTGAGAGGGAAAATATATTTAACACTAAAAGAATAATACTCTTCAACGGAACAAAACGGGAAACTTGGCCAATGAGCTCGAAGGAGTTACACCGCACACAAAAAGCGCAAGAGTCTGGCTTTCTTATCTCTAAATTTTTCTATGCAAGTTGTCTCGTTCGTATTTACATTTACAGTTTTTCTTATACCTATTAAAAAAAGATTGGCACTCTCCGGGAATAATAAAGCTCAAGGAGATGAAAACAATTACATTCGATTTCATGCTAATAGATGTCTCCCTAAGGATTCAATGGACTAATGGCTGCCTTCATTACTCCGCTGCTTTTCAACAGACTGACGGTTTAGTAATCCTAGGCGTTATTGTCTTTATTTCCTCACAAGATAAAAATTACATGTATTATGTTACAAAACGGAAACGTGAAAAAGTGGTAAAAAGGTTAAAAATAATAAAATTGTAAACATTTATAAACACTACACCACAACGCTACCTTGTATTTGAAAATTAGACTAACAACATAAGAATCTTTAGAACGGTTTGGATTAACTTTGGGGCAATAACATGATTTGTTTCTATAATCATATTTCTTTCCCGGCTTTTTCTTTGGGATTAAATTTCTAGGTGGACGAAAATCTAACTTTTGACACTTTATGAGGGCCTAAATGGAGTGTTGGCTTTTACGGCTAATGGTTAAAATTTGGCCATTTTACGGCTTACGGTTAATTTCTTTCCGTTGCAATTAAGATAAATTTTTTACGGTTAACTTTTGTTACGACCAACGATTAAAATTTTGCCAATTTTTACGCCTGACGGCTAATTTTTTTTGCCGTTTTATGGCAAACGGCGAACCTCATTGACACCCTCGTTTATTGCATATTTTTTTGTCCAGTTTTTCGAGAAGTTCGCTTGCGTTTTTGTTTTAATTTCACATGAGCTAAGTAAACGAGTCACATCTGTAATTATGACAAGGTCATTAATTAGAAGCGATCACAAACTTAACTTGGGCTGCCAAAACTTCTGTTGTTTAATTAACTTTAAGAGGTCAATTTTTACTGATAATTTTTGTGCATCTACATCTTACATTCAACACTGTTGTGGTTTATGCTATTTCTCTAAGGGACCAGTCCACATTTATTATCAAGAAGGGAGAAGAGTGGGCTTGAGGATCTCATTACTCTAAGGGGGAACAGAGGGGATTCAGTCGTTGCTAACAGAGTATAAGCGAGAAAATTGACTGCCTTAGAGAACTACAGAGCCGTATAGAGGGATTATGAAAATTTTTGTGACATAACCCGAATATTCCGAACCCCCTCCCCCCCCGGCGATAAATAATTACCGGCCCTAAATTATTCTTCCATCTCTTCTCTCTCCTTTATTCAATATGTAAACTGCACTTGCTAAAAAAGGTAGTAGAGCTCGATCTATGCAGTAGCGCCTTGTTTATCGACACGCACAGGACTCCACCACAGTTACTCTCTTGTCACCCAATATCTCTACTCTGGTGGATTCTGGGTAACATCCTTTTTGTCTCGTCTTGGTATGGATTACGCATCGCCTTGCTCTTGACCCTGATTCGTCTGGGTTGTTTATCCTGTGTAATGAAATGAATCAGTGGGCAGACGGTTACATCCAAGAGCATCAATGTTCTACCATTATCCAAATCTATCATTGTACTTCCCTTTAGGGACCGGTCATTTTTCACCCTGTCTGGGGGTGGGGAGGACAGAAGATTTTGGGGATCATACATGGTTTGCAAGGATCTTAAAAAAATTTGAGAGCCCGATGGTCCACCACTCGAAAACATAATTTCTGCTTAGCAACCTTTAAATGCTTCATAGATAAACTGGATTTCATCTCATTCTCACCACAATACTTACCAGAGAAGACATTCACCCTTCACATGTCCAGAACAAGTTCCGACGCAGCGTCCAACATCAATGATCTGAAAAAAAATTGAATAAACTGAAATAAGATAGCAAAAAAAGCATTCACCTTCTACATTGTTGTACCTGTCGGAAAAGCGATGTTTCTTTAACCAAAACGCACTGACGAATATTTATTAAAAGCAAAAACTGGATCACAGTTATTTAAACCTAGCCTTCTGATTGGCTGAACGGAGCCACGTTATGAGCTTGTAACCTCTTGCAACCTAATAGTACCGAGCTCAACGAAAAGAGAAAAAATTATGTGAGCGAGCTGTGAAGCAATGCCACTAAATTTGGTATGAAAATGGTTTAAGGTATTTTACGGAAACTTAAGTCTATTTGCTATATGCATAACATGATTTGTTTACATGTTGTTTTTTTCTTCCGTCCGTTGTTAAACCAAATAAAATCTAGTTGGTAGCGTTGTTTTTAGTGCGCGCTTTTGCCAAAACAGTTTTTCTACTCAAGCTTGTCGAACATGAGATTATTATAACCAACTATTTATGATATCATCTCGTATTTGATGCGCCCTCGTAGAATAATTGTTAGTTAGTTACAGAGGTTCATTCATATTTGATGGTTTCTCTGTCGTGTAGGAGTAGTATTCCTTTTTTGTCTTACCTCTGTCATGGTTGTATTGTTAAGTTGGATTTGAACAGCCTCATTATGTGACGCCCTGTAGCATTTTCTCTCACATCCGCATGATTGAATCACCTCAACACATCTGGCCCCTGAACATAAAACATTCGGCCAGTAAGCTTTATTAAGTACATTGCAACAGTCGACGGACTAGGTGAACAATGTAATTTTTTCCTCAAGCCAAGTTTAACATAATTGTATTAGTAGTCATAGCCCGTTTACGATATGTTCATTATTTAAAGCTAGGAGGGGGGTAAGGGGCCGGGGTTTTTGGTTGTGTCACGATGATATTTACTGAGTTCCCCCATAAAGCTCGGTGATATTCCTATGACCACAGCAGTTAATTGGCAGTCAATTTTCTACAATCCCTCCTTTGTACTCTGTTGGCAACGACACTCCCCCCCCCCCAGGTTCCCCGAGAAAACCTTGTGACCCCCCAGAAAAATCCTCCAGCCGCCCCCACCCCTCCCCACCCCCAGCCCCGAATAAATAATTACTAGAGATCATTAAGTTACAGATGACCGAATTTTGTTTTTTGGTTTTCTGTTGACGTTATTGTTACTTACCGTTCGGACCCATAATTGTGACGGTTTTTGAAGAGGTTGATCGGCATTTGACGTCGCGTGCGCCTGAGAAAACGAGAGAAACTAAAATTAATTGAAGGCAACCCAATCAAATAGGTCAGAAGGCCTGGTTACCCATACAGGACCCTTGTTATATATCATGATCTGGCTCACGTCCTAGCTCGTCAAAAAAAATATTTGTGGGGGGAAACAAGCCGCCACAACATAGACGGCTATGGTTTCAATCATTACGGTTAATTCAGATTTTCTTTGCCCCGAGCTCATAACAGATGTGTGGTATCATTTTTCACTTATCCATAACGAAGTCTCGTACCCATACCTTCCACGGTCAACTAATTACATGGTAGGATCTGGGTACGAGATTATGCATAACCTTGCTCAAAATTCACAATTTGGCTTTCTCTTTCCATGCTTGTGTTAACGGAGCAAAATTCTCTCGAAACTATTCTAGTCCATTCTAGACGTTAAGTTAGAAAACGGAACGAAACAACAAACCATGCAATAGCAGGCGAATTGAAAATGCGAGGGAAACTCGGAACGGGTCGCGTAACCCGACCCAAGCCTCCCTTAGCCGCTCCTGTCGCGCCTAACGCGACTAACGCGCTTCGTTTTGCCGACTGACTGCCTGGAACGGGCTAAAACAGAGAAAATGTTTAACTCTGACATTAAGGAGCATATATGAATTCAATTAAGACACCACTGACGGCATTTCTAGATTCCAAAGGGTAATCCAACCTTCCCAAAATTGATTTATAACAATTTTTAAACGTTAACCGCCTTTTTTCGTATTTTAACCTGGCTGTTTAACTGTTATGTAGTAAAGCTTTATTCCTCATTGTTTTCCTTTCAAGCGAGTTTATCCAAACAATAAGGATCCAAAGAAAAAGGCTATCATGATTCAAACAATACTTTGATTGCAACAACCAGTGCGGGAATGCTATTTATTGTGGCTTAGAGAAGAAAAATGCTTTACAAACCATACGTTCTCCCATTAAAAAGCATATATGAAGATTGACTTCTTAACGCGTTTCGAATTTGTAATTCAGAAATTGTCTTCAAGAGTGCAAAATATTCGAACATGGATGATGCCATTTTGAAAAAGAGCTCATTAACATGGCTGCACACACAACGCCATTCTTACTTGCATCAGAACCTGCCATAAGTATCTATCATTTGGCGCGCTTTGAATCCCAAAATAAGCACTTACCGTGTGAGAGGCACTTTCCAACGCACTGACCAACATCTACTCTCGTTTCAAACTTAGTCCCTCTGAAAAAGACTTGCTCAGAAGGTATACGCTGACATTTCTTTTCACGCGACGTACAGGTGCAGCTGAGAGCGCTTGTGACGTCACGAACATCGCTCAAGGACCTGACGGTTTTTACTTCGGCCAGGGAGGCAGTGCAAAAATTGGTACCAGGACAAAGTTTCTGAAAAATGTCAAGGTATGTGGACACGTAAGTACGTCTTATGTAAAGAACACACTCGCTACAGGGGAAGTCTCGTTGCTTCGGACATTACGCATCTCTATATCCAATTGGTTAATTCTTGTAAGAACAGTCTTCAAGGTAAAATAAAACACGTTTCAAATGTGAAAAGGTTCGAATGAGCTAACTTTTCATTATAAACTATCGTCTTATGGCTTCTCGCGGAAAGGAATTTTGAACATGTTGCATTAAAAAATTCTTGCAAGTGAACATCGTTTTTTTGCCCTCGTATGTTAATGCGGCGCAAAACCCCTTTGCAGCACTTCTCGCGCGCATTATTAAATTTTTGTCGGAACTGAATCGCGCACATCAATCAGTCAGATTTCAGAGTAACGCCTACGATTTTTCTAAACCCATCATGAAACCCCGGTAGTTAAGCCTGAGTAAGTGTGTGGACGTATTAACTCTCTACACCCTAACATCAGTATGCATATTCTCCACACTGCTCTATATACATTTCCTAAGGAGCTGACAGAGAGAATTTGTTTGCCAACCAAAATCTTCCTTTCCTGGTGATCATTTCCTTTATTCTCATGACCTAAATGTGCGATTCAGGAGTGACGTTATAGGGATAAATTAGATGCTCGTCACTCTTAGGATTTACAGGGATGCATAGCATTACCCTCTCTCATCCTCCGATCTATTTTAATCGACCATCACTTCCTGGTTTGTTAAACCCCGCTCTTTATTTCACTCCGGTTGTGTAACGAGCTCAAGAGCCTCTTAACTTCTTAGTTCTCAAAGGATATTGAATAAGTGGTTTTAGAGCGATTCTTCACGAGTTTCAACTGTTTTAAATGCACGAAACGTTTACCCCTTTGTGCGCTTCTAAGCTAAAACTCGTGAATCGTAACTTGAAAATAAGTTGATACACACCCCATCTTCCTCTAGTTCCTGATCGTTCCTAGTGGCGGCTACAAGACTTGTTTGACAACTAATCACGTTGATTTTGTGTCCAATTCCTGAAACGAAATGATACGGTTTGAACACTTGAGGTACTTATTGCTGAAAACAGCAAACATCACGCGCTGGCAGCAAGTCACTCATCGTCAAGTGTTTTGATTCCGTGTAACTTGACGCTCTGGTATTGCTTCTGTTTATCTTTTTTTTTTTTGTGCTGAGAGGTTGGCATTTCGTGCACATATTGTAGACTGGTATTAGAACTCTTAAAGGTCCTTGAAGGAAGACGCAATTTTTTTGTTTTTCAATCCTACCTTCCGTCATTCAACGACTTGGCTCAAATGTAACTCTCTGAAGAATATCTCTACAAAAACGCTTTCGACACGCTTTTCTAACTTTACTTAGGACGTATGCTACATACGTACCCTTCCTGAAATGGCCTTCGCCTTAACAACCATTGGTAGTATAACCCTTTTTTTCGTGAGTCGATGTGGTTACCCCTATCCCACATGCAATGTGTGTTCCGGACTTTTAAATGCTTCCACGAGATGTCCTATTATAAATAGCCTAAGATGAGGAATCCACCGTGCTGGATCAACAAAACACTACGATCAGTATACTGTGTGTGGTCAACAAGTTCAGCTGCTCGTGAAAAACCGCCAATGTCAAGTGTTGGGACACGTGATGTGTTTTTTAGCATAATCTTTGTTTTCGGCTCCGAGTGTTATTCTTAATATAGTACTGACATAATCTTCGATAGTGTTTGTATACTGGTTTATCGCTACACGTTTCTTACAGCCATACACCATCTTTCTCAAAATAACAACGTGGAAAGACAAAAGATTAATACACATGACCATTCTTAGATTTGAAAATCGTCGGCTACCAAAATGAACCTTTTTAAGTTTAAAAGAATCGAGAGCTGTAGATAGTTTGGCCGGACGCCGGAAGCTGAAAACATGAATTGTGAAACGGAAATGAAATTTAAATTCGTTTTTCAATACGCATTCTCCCTTGTTGTTCCATTGGTCTCCACTTATTTAATTTTCGATTCCTTTTACTCTTCATTTTTGCGTTTCAGAGCTAGAACCGAAAGCACTCATACACCCCCTGCACACGTTTTGTCTTCCCTCATTAAATTTGTCTTTTTCGGTTCCATTTGCCTTCTCGCGCATAAGTTTCTTACGATCTTAATAGACTGTAGTTGAGAGGAAAGAAAACACATTGACAATTGAGATGGAATAAATAGACATGTTTTTTCCTCTCGTTGAAATTAAGGAAACATTTAACAGTAAAGAACTGAAAACAAGCTATTTTGAATGAAAAAACTTAACGTTATAACAATGAAGTTGGTCTGTGGTAATAAAAGACTTGAACTCTGTTGTTCAGCACTTGCATTCCAATTTAGCACAGTGAAAAACAGTTTTTTCTCTTCTCGTTAGTATTGTCTAAGTTGTAAGCTCGAGTTTTCCTTAATTTCTACATCTGTGGTATACCTGTATGCACTGTGCCCGTGGTTGCCCTGTGACATATTCTCCTCATCATGTTATGTTTCTGAAGCCAGTGACCAATAGCGCTGTCGGGAAGTGAGTTCAAGGGTCCTTCTAAATATAAGAAGAAAGTATTAATTTAGAAAGTGTTTGTAATTTTTTCGTATTTGGTAGTAATTGATTCAATACACTCCTGTATTTAGCTGGTTTTCTTCTGCATGTTACTTTTCTCGTTGAGCCCTTTTGCGTCACGAGTCGAGCTATCACCTTAAAACTAAAGTCAAAATTTATGTTAATCTAAGCTCGAGAGTTGCCGCACAACCCATGAAACCCTTCAACGCGACAAGCTAACTTTGCGGCAAGAAGCGAGGCGCGAGGCGCGAGGCGACCTGGTTTCAAACTTAATTCATGAATTGGTTCAATGTATCTTAAATGGCTAAAAACTGAAGGGAGATTTCAGTTGTTATTTCGCTTCTTAAGTCATGATTTTACTTTGAGCTACTAAATCATATTGGACTTTTGAACCCGTCCTTATGCAACTGTGATAGGGAACTGACGTAAACACAAACCAGGACAGCTACGGAAACGAATAAACTGGAAAAACAAATAATTTATGTGCAAAACAACAATCTTCACGTGCGCTATAAACTTATTAAGTTTCCTAATCGTCCTCTGAAAAATAACAACGCGAAATCGCTAGATGAACGGAAACCCCAACACCAAAGATTTCACGTTTCTCTTTGGAACTCTAAGATGCCGGCCTTCGTTAAAGAGAAGGTCTGACGGTGTTTAAAACATTAAAAACATCAAAATGTATGCGGAAGGGTAGCGAAAAATGTATGTTTATTGTTAAAGGATGTTTTTTATGTCGGCGTTTTCGCGGACGTGCTGGCGTGAGGTCCTTAATTACGCTGCTAGGTCAAATCCGTTCGGCAGAGCAATAGCGTGAAGTTTGAAATAGAACTAATTCAGTCAGTGCCCATCAAAACAAGATTTAAAAAACAGCATACAAAATAATAATTTAACTTAAGTTTGATCGCGTCAACTCTTGCAAAAATAGTTCTAGTTTTGCTTGTTCTGTACAACTAGTTTTATTGACAAACAAACAAATGATACTGAGAGAAAGGCTGTAATCTGGTGTAATAACATGAAGAGCTGCCAGGGTAAAGTTTTTCACTAAACATGTCTTCTGATTAAACTGTTCAAGTCACCTCTTCATCCCCTAAGTACTGTTGGATTAGTTAAGGAAATTCCCTATACTCGAGTATTCCGGCATGGGGTAAAACGCAGGGAGGACATCTTGTCCTAAAAGCTTTACACTTAGTAAATCGTATTACGTCGAGATGAAAAGCGAGTTTACCACGCGAGATTGAATTCGAGTCGAGAATTTTTCTCGCAGAGCCTAGGGGGTATTTTCCACAGAGGCGCCAACCAATTTACAAGATGTAAAAGGCCTTATTTTTAAAGGAGCTGTTCCCTTAGAGACAAGCAAGATTTATCTAAAAGAATGGCTGATGTAGAGTGGGATTAGTCCATTTTATAATAAGACCAGACTAAATTACTTCTTATTTTGGCAAAAACAAGTGATTTATATAGCTTTGGTTTTAAGTATCACAAAGTTGATCGCATTTTCGAATTTTTGGTGTCTATTCATCTTATTTTGTGTCATCCTGTTAATTCGCAAAGCACTGAGTATTCTGTCAAGACAGAACGCCGTGTTTATTACACCTAAACAAGCTTGACACACGTTCGGCTTATGATTACGAAAGGCTCGAAACACCGTCAGCTTTAAAAACTCACCACCGTGGCCAATGCACATTATCAACTCAGCTGATGAAATCAAATTACCCTGACTTAAGTTTGCCCCCTCCCCCCTCGACGTTAGAACAACGTACTATTAACTTCATACTACGAATTTTAAACATGAAATGAAGTGAGCGTCAACCTCAAATCTATAAACAGCTTTTTTTCTATTTCGCCAAAATAGACAGTTTTATGCTAAAGCAATTAAGGCAAAACCGTTATATTTTTTAAGCTGCACCGTGCCGAGTAGGGCGCATGGTTTACTGCAATCATCGGCATGTGACCCTCTATGTTCTCTGAGATGCTACCAAAGCAGCAGATAAGCATCAGCTATTAAACTCGATGACTTCCTCGGATACGTGAGTCAAAAGGGGTTTGAAGAAAATGTTGCAAATAAACTGATTGAAACCAACTTTCCTTACTTATCATTTTGGAACACTTTTAATGAAAAAACAAGCTTAGAAGTAACTTACCTTGGTTGAAATGAAGACTTCTCGGCTCTGTTTTTCTATGCATGAGGAACACAAGGCACAGGCAAACGGAAACTGGTCGAGACATTTCTGCTGTGAACGTTTGCGATCGTTTTCAAGCACAGAATAGCTTCGTTTATTACTCTTTACCGTATTTATATACATTCAATAAGGTTCTGCCTTTGCGCTTTTATTTTTAAGGCACGAGTTGTGACAATACTGTCTGGTTTAGGATGTTTTATTATAGCAATTTTATTGTAATGTGTTTGTCTCATCCAACTTAAACAATCAAAGTAGCTAAGTTTCCATTCTGTCATCTTCTATTGATTTGACGAGAGCCACATCGGTTGCAACAAACCAGGTCTTTTTTTTTTGTTGTTTCAATCTCGGATTCTGACAATGAGGCATGTCTGGATCCACTCATTACTAAAAAAATTCGACTTATGAATTTTTCTACGATTTCTTTATAACGTGATTAACAACTAAACGCCTTTTTTTTTTTTTTATTCTTAATTTCGCTTGTTGGGATTATTGTGTCTGGCAGTTAGGGGATATTATTGTCTTGAATATACAATTCAAACAATATTTTTAGTTAAGTTTTTATCGAGTTGGTTTTTTAATTTTTTTATCTGTTTATCTTATCTTTTTCGCGAAAGCTGATTTTACCAACTGTGAGCTTCTAACCCGTTCTTTTTCTCTCGTTAGACTAAGTGTCTCAATTTATACATATTTGCTGTACGTTTTTTTTTTAAGTCCTATCTCAGGTAAACAGAACACGTAGAACTTTATAACTTGAAGAGAGAATGAGAGAATCTCGGCAGGAGAGAATGAGCCACAGAGGATAAAAGAGATACATGTTACAAAGTGTCCTGTTTATTGCCATAACATTAATTTCGATGCAATGCAATTTAGTTTGTATTCAGACAAGCTCAAAAACCCCCGACACTGACCTGAATTGTCTCTACTATATCAGTGTCACTTTTTTACGTTTAGAATTACAACATTGGAAAATTACACTTTTGTTGTTCATTGTGTTGAGTTGACCCTCGTACTCTAAACAACAAAAAAAACGTGTGTTTGCCTCCTGAGTGAAAAACACAGAAAGTATATTTGAATTAAAACAAAACAAAAAAAGGGGAGAAGGGTCACTGAAAGAACTTAAGTAAGGATAAACTCAAATTTTGTCTAGAGATCCTGAAAATTAAAATTGATCCCAGACTTTACGTGGAGACAAAGCTCTCTCAAGCAACTATTCAATGCAATCCACCTGTGCACTTTTAAGAGCCAGTTGGGTAGAATTCTAATGAAGGAATTATAAGTTAATTAATACAATTTTTTGTATGTTGACAAAAGGTCGAACTACTTTTTTTAGCTCGGAAAAAATCCGTTTCTTTTTTACATTAGAATTACTTATGGATAAAAGTGCCCAGAGATCAGGACAAACAGGAATGTTAGTTAAATTGAAGACGGTTAATTCAAATCTTGCGCTATTTACATGACAGTTTTTGCCAGCGATGTTTGATTTTGGCCAAAATTGTAAGACGCCGACAATTCTACTTTTTCTCTTGCTCTCTTTTTACCGCATTATTGTCTACTCATTAACAAAGTTGTTGCGCGCATTGTAACAATCTAGACAACAAAGACTACTTTGTAAACACGTGGCAAGCTTAACTTAGAGAAGAGAGCGTAGAATATGAAACAAACCGATACCGACAAACGCGTGTGTATCAATGAAATGTTGGCTTGCTCATCACATGTGCTTACAAAGAAAAAAAATTCCCTTTTTGTGATGTCCACCGTAAGCCGCCTGAACTTATTTAACTTGCCGCCAGAGTAAGCGAAGGTATTATCAGGTTATCGCCATCAAAGACAGGACAATTTCGGTAGAAACCACAAACGCACATCTTTACTTGGCCGGCGGAAAAAAACCGGTCTACTTGAAAGGCTTGCGTACGTCAGCAGAGGTATGACAAAGCTTATAATTAAAGCGACTTTGTTTACAACGATTCACTTATAGTAAACGTGTGAAATGAAGATATATTTCTTTCACCGAATGAAAGAAATGATATTGGATTTGTCTAGTTAGCGCAGTGCGGGGATCAATATTATCCCCTGGGCGATCGGTTTCAATCTGACTTCCTCGATACACGTGGTGTTGTCTTCTATTTTGGAGTGTGCGTTTCAAGTATATCGTATCAAAACCTGTTTGAGATATGCTACGATTTCGCAACCACTTTTTTCGTTTCCGTTCTCGTCAAAAATCCCAAAATTCAGTTTGCGAGAACTTTCGTAGTTCCAGAAATTTGCCTGAACTTCTAAGCCAACCTTGTGAACCTTGGAACGTGGTGTGGTTCGAATGAAGTTTGAAAAAAGCTTTTGACGACTGACCAATATCAACCCGTATTCTTTTGAAATACCAGTGGAATGTAGTAACAAAGAAATATTCGAATGGAGGAATAAAAAATTCATTGTTTTTATGATACTTATGTTGATTAAATTCCTCTTGGATGAGACATATAAACACGCAATAAAAACGGGCGATATTTTCTATCTGTGAGATTTTTTATCCTTATTTGGTAGGCTGTTGACAACGTAAAAAATACAAGAAATACTATTCATGTCCCTGGAGGTGTCTTTTCCCTCTAAACAGCTTATAACAAGCTTTTTCTATTTAAGGTGTAAAGTACGCACCAAAAACCTTAATTAGACAAAATAATTAGCTTTCACGTCTACAGTTTTACGACTTTCTCTCATTCCCATCTAAATTGAACTTATCATTTTTGTTTTATAGACGCCGGATAAGCCATAAAAATGATCGTAATTCCAATCCGTGCCGTTTTAGTATCAGAACTTATTTTAGAGAGAAATGTTCGAAGATCTTATTAACTAAAAAAGGAAATGGGACAAAACTCTCTTGTCGTGAATGTAGCCGAAGCTTGCAAACATCCCTCTTCCAGTGTTACATAACGAGTGAGGGAATTCTCTAGAAATAAACGCACGCGAGTGTATAAGCATTGTTGGGAATAGTAAACAGTTCTAGACTCTAGTCACTCTAGTTCCAGTGAATTACCTTTGGCCAGTTTTACCAGAAACTACTTTTAAAGGATCCACCTTTTCGCTCACCGCTAGTATCTATATAGTAAATATTAGTCAATAGCTAATTGATGTTACATAACATCCGCCAGCTTGTGTTCCATGTATGAGAAACTTTAAAGATCATCTGCATTCTAAGTCACCGTTATAAGTCACAGTTCAACGTTGCTTTTAGATTTATGGTTAACAGTAAGAATCATGGTTGAAAGAGATTCAGAAAAACAATGCCTTTTGTGTATGTAGATCACGTTACGAAGTGAAGAGAAATTGTGGTAATTTCTAGCTCACACGTTTCTCTCTGAAGCTTTCTTCGATGCGGACCTAAGCGATGAAATGCAAGAACTGCTTAGGACTCGACGACGGCTTCTTTAAATAAACAACAACAACAACAAAAGAAGAAGAAATAGAGAAACAAAACGAGATTTTGATACCCCTATCTTAAAATTCCTGGGTGCAGTTTGACTGAAATTTTTTGGAGACGCTGAATTAATGCCCGAATCATCGAGGTCTTGGAAAATATTAGAAACGTTTTACGAGATTAAACCATTTCAACTCAAATTCTAAAGACTTACTGGGCGCATATCAATAGATTGAATCTTTTTCAACCGGTTGTTTTAACTGAAATATTGCAAATATTCAATTAAGGCGGAGAAAATATGGAGCTGAAACTTCACTGAAACCACTAGGTGCTACAATATTTCTAAAGACTGCAAAATAGATGTTTGACTTGACTCAATAAATATAATTTCGGTGAGCTAACAGACAAGTACGTAAAACCATCACTAATGACGAGACATCTTAAGGCTGCTCGTCGTTAAATATCAGCCCTAAACTGAGAAGGAAATGTAGCTTAGATCGAATTCAATCAAAACCGATTTTTTTGTTGTTGTTTTCTTGCGCACTCAGTAGTTAATTAAATCAGTACAATTTAAAAGCTTTCGTTATTTGGGGGCCTTCGCAAAGTCCGTTATGTTTCGTGTATTCCTGTAAAGCACTCTTTGTAGAGCCCTCTTAAAACTTGTCCTAAAGGCCTATATCTATTTTAAATCGGCCCAAATTTCTTACAGTTATCTTTAAGACTACAGACCAAATTAGGCAACCGCAAGTTTTGCGTTCGAGCGCGATGTATTTTTTCCGCGTTTTTCCGTAACCGCAAATTTGTAAAGCTGGTAAGTTTGAGGTGTCTAACTCTTTGGAAAAGCCTTCCGTCTCCTTGCATTTATCATCAAAGAGACCTACAATGGTAACTGTACAATTCCGCACTAAAGAGAAAAATGAAATATTTTTCAGAGTAGTTGTTCAGGGATTAGTTGTTTTGTCTGTGTCAATACTGTAAGGTTTTCGGAAACTCAGTGAAACGTCATTTAAGTCATTTATGACGTACATATTAAATTGTTCATTTTTCCGTAGATCATTTTCGAACATGACCAAGCGTAAATTATTTATTGCTTGTTGTCTAATTCTTTATATAAATTTTGGTTTACGTGTTTGTTCGACAAGTGCGCAACTTCCGAACGGAAAGGAAGTAAAATAGAAAAGTTGCTGGAAAGGCTTAAATCAAAATTGCGGCAGATTAACAATGTTATGATATCATCGACCTAACGTAAACCCGGCTAAATCCAAGAAACGATAACGACCTATAATATCAATCCTTAGGCTGTTATATCAATCACTCGAACAGCCTGTAATGACATCGCGATTTTGTTTTTACTTTGGACAGTTTAGCCTACAATATCGTCCCCCGCTGACAAAATTGAACAATTTCCAATTAACTATATTTAAACAAACACGTATGATAAAAGATCTCAGTTTATTTTGGCGGGTCTTGCAATTTTACATCGTGCAATCATTTCCGAATTAGACATCTCTCTCTTATCACTAATATCAGTGTTGAAAGTTTGAGCGGTAAATAAATTTCCATCACGTATATGCAGGTCCTCAACGCAGATTTCTAGATTAAAATCTTTGAGAAGGAACTGAAAGGGCGGGTGCGTGGGCCCAACTTGGAACACATATCGACGTTTCTGTTCCAAAAGCAGTTCATTTACAATATACGTGATTCGTAATTATACACTAGCAATAGCTAATCTCGGCTGACGCAAAAGAGGAACTGAAAATTGACATTACTACGTAAGGCGAAAAGTAACTTATGAAGTCGGTGTCAATCAGTTGAGTTCGTGTCGATTTCGTGGATAAATTCATCTAGAGCTGAAGAGAAAATCTCAATTTTAACAGTGTTAATCCTAATTTGTGTGTTCTTTCCTTTCATATTTCCCATTTTTTCCTAGTTTGGTGGCTCATACAAGTAATTAACAAGAATTATTTTTTTAATTGACGTCAATTAATCCTTTGGGGATTTAAGAGTAATTTAATTACTGTCGTAGTCTAGTAACACTGTTGGCAAAATCTGCATTGAGTTCTTAACTGGAATTTGGGCCTGTTGTTTCTCCTTGCAAAATAGACAAACCCCAACCGCATTTTTTTAATTGTTCTCCTTCAAGATTTCTTGTTCTGTGATTAAATTGATCACAAAAGGGCTGATGTCCAAGAAATTTAAGTCTTGGGGAATTATTTTGAATAGTGATCTATATTTCACACTTGAAACATTATTATGCAATGCAATTACTTCGCGGCATTTTGAGTCATGCAAGTGTAACGACATGAAAAAATAATCTTCCACTTTAAGGGAATGTAGATATTAATATTTTTTTGTTGTTTTATAGAATTACACCCAAATAGAAAGAAGAATCTGTGAGGCAGGAGTGGGAGAAGGACAAATAAAGTTTTAACAGATTTCAAATGACCTACTCAAACAATTTATAAAGCCAAGTTTTTCGACAATGTGGAAACCAGGAATTAATTCTTCCTAAGTGAGGGAATCCGGTCGATATTTTCAATTTTGTCTCTTTGAGAGCGATGCGTTCCATGGCTAGTTCCCTATAAGGATGTGTTGTTTGTTATCGTAAAATGTTTACTTGGGAAAATGTGAATGTTTATCTCAATGGTATTGACCAACGAATCATAACGCAAAGAACAATGAGTGTGATGAGATCAACGCGCCATTGGTTCGTGGATTGTGTGCGCTGATTTTTCCTGGAGTAACTTAACTAGCCGGTTACCCAAGTACCCAGTCTGGGCAAAAAAAATTTCAGTCAAGGACTTTGAGCGTTAACTTCAGCCAATGCCACAACAACAATGCTAAATGCCTATCATATTTATTACCGCCTATAAGAGAGGTTCGTGGAAAGAGTAAAGTGCCTTTTAAAAAACCACTGAGTTTGGCTGATTTAGCTGTCGACTTGAATCAAACAAAACAGTTTCGTTCGAATTTTTTATCACAGTAGATTGATCAGTTGAGCTTAGGTAAGATTATACTTCGGTCTACTAGTTCTACAGAATTAATATGGGAATATTTTTACTTTTGAATCAGATTTTTTTGTACGTGTTGTTCATTCTCTTGTATTGTTACACGAGTCGCGATAAATTGCTGATTGTTGCCGAGCACGCGACCGTTTGAGAATAATCAGATAATCCAAGATAGAAAACTGCACAAAGAGTATAAGTATTTATACTTATTAATGCCTTTCATAAAAACGAGCTGATTAATGTTTTTTAGCTTGTAAGCCAACAATATGCTTTCACCTCAGAGATTTGTATTTTTAAGCCCTAATTTCTTGAAATTACGTGCGCTGTAACTCCATTCAATAAGAGGTGTCAAAAATTAGCTCTGGCAAGCTCGAGTTGCCGATTTTCCTGAGCTATAATCTCCAAACTTTTGAGCTTAAAATTTTGTGGTGGCATAAATGCGACGTGCTACTCTCAAAAGTTCAACTGAAAATGTCAACTGAGGGGCAATTTGGTTTGGAGGTTTGTTTACAACACGTTTTGAACGAAGGTCTTGATCTGTTGCCGGCATTGTGTTTAGGCTAATGTATAACCGATTTGCAAACTCTCTGAACAAACCCAAACCGCATTCATCTAAAATATTTCCTCAGGCTCCGCAGACCTTTGAATTTTATTTAAGTAGTATTGAGTTGTTTGAGAGCGTGTTTCCGGCTGTCACTTAGTCAACAAATGGTTCGGACAATAGGTGTTACCCAAAGGCCCTTGTTTGCTCAGCCAAAGAGTCTCCTGCGAAGGCGGAAACGCGGAAAGGCTCCAACTTGGCGAAGACTTACGTGTAACGAATACCTGGGTAAGTTGCAAGGTTTGTTTTGCTTCTCAGGCATTTTTTTGTTTTGTTACACTCCTGGCAAATGGCAATGGCGCCGTGAAAAATTTAAGTTGAATTAATTTTCAAGCGAGTCAGCAGAACTCTCTCTCAGTTTCATTTCTTAAGAATATCTGAAGGAAGAAATTACATTTCCCCGGAACACTTTTAATCGCCAGGACAGAAACTTCGAAACAAATTTTAAATATTTCATTTCGTTATTTGAATTGAAAATTACCGGAAGCTTGAGAAATAAAGAGCTAAGCCAAGCATGCGATAAATGTTAAATAAGGTGGCAATTGTGTGCAATTTTCGATTAATTTCGATGCACTTCTTCAGCACTGTTCCTACTAATCTTACGACAGTGAGTTTGTTTCCATCTAATTACAAGCTGCGCCACTCAATGACGTTATCTATGATCAAACAAAAGTCTTTATCTCAAATTCATCGAGAAACCAACATAAAGAATGCTAAAAATAAATTCCGGCCAGACTTACTTTCAAAATCAACGCAGCAAATATAAGATTGAAAAAAGCTGACGTTCATGAGGTAATAATATTACTAATATTTAGTAAGGACAAACAATTTCGTCTTTCCCGCAACTCATTCTCAAATAAACATTTATGGGAAATTCAGTTGAATCCTAATAAAACGGTGATTTTATGCCGTGAGAATATTTTGACATATGAAGAACATGATTGCCAGGTTTCAACCTGTGCAGAAAACCGAACATACAAGCTTCAGAAGTTAAACGAAAAATGCTCAATAGCTAACTCGAAGCTGATTAGCTTTCTTAGAAAGGTTTCATCTGGGAACTGTACAATTAAAGCTCTTTACTAGTCAATGATTTAATGTACATCCTTTATTTCACCATTCAAATAAAATTAATCACCTTTTTAAATAGATTTTCATCGTGTTTTGTAATCGTTGCAATATAAGGCCTTCGTCTCCCTCTGGGAAAACCCCTGCAACACCTTCAAATCTGTGACGTGAAGTTACAGCAATGCTGAACAGGCCGGGCCCTAAACGCATTTCTTTTATCAGAATAGAATACATTAATCCTACCTTTGTTTGCCAAATAATTCTGGAAATTATTTTATTATTGCATAAAATTTTCCGCTCAAATGATCCAAGTAAATTTTAATAATACTTGGGAGTATAGCTTGCGTAAAAGGTGAAAAAAAGCCAGCCAAAACTTCCATGTACCGACATCAATTAACGATATGATTCTCCCACTGGAAAGGAAGAGCTAAAACTGGACTTCAAAGGCGTTGACTTCGAAGAATATTTTTGTAACCATTTCGTAATTTGGAGCGGATGGGGAATAAATTCAGCATAACATGTCTGTTAAAATTTGTTTAGTTTTGCACGACGCAGTTCCTGCTAAAATGTATATAGATCCATTCCTTTAAACCTTGATCAAACTTGTTTCTTTTACGTCAACAGCATCGCAATGAGTCTTAACCAACCCGGAAAATTTTTTGAGAGCTGCCAAGGTAAAAAAAAAATTTCTATGTTAAGATCATTGATGGATTTGCGTTAAACTGCTCTGTATTTTAAGACCATTTGAATTGGTCACTTATGGAGCTGTTACTGTGGTTGGCTGTTGGGATAGTCTTCCTACCCAACCCGCGCTTTCCGCGTATACAGGGCTAAAAAACTCCCCAGGATCGTTTAAAAAAACCGATGTCAGCATTGTGTAACTCGCTGACAAGTAAGGGCGGGGTACATTGTCTAGTATTTGTGGGGAAATAGTCGGATCAAATCGGGAATTTTCGGAATGCCGACCACTTGACGACGTCTGTCAATGCGTTTAAAAGGCTCGCGTGTCCGGTCGGGGTTTGTATAAAGAGCTGGTCGGCAGACGAGACAAGTTAATCATATCTCGTATCTGTAAGGTCAATTGCTCCTGGATTCCTTGACATACAAAAGAACTTGTTGCCGCGTGAAAGTGACATTTCGTACGAACTCAACATCTAAATGGCGAGGCGACTACTCAGTGCGTTGGTTCTCTCTGTTTTGTGGCTTTCACCGTGAGTAACCAATTTGACATTGTATGTTTAATCTTCGACTCCGGCTTCTTCTAAGACTTCCAAGATTTTAAGCGTACTCTTTGTTCAAATTTGCAGATGTATTGCTAAACCCACCAGAAAGTCATCATCATCAGTAAGTATTTTTATGTCTATCATCCTTTCAATGCAAAATCGTTGGCGGTTTCTTATATATTGAAATTCCATATCTAACTTAACAACTAAACAGCGTTTGCCCGAAATGCCTTGTTTGAAAAAACAAAAATTCCAAGCTTGAATTTAAGTTGTATTAAGCCTTAAGTTAGGGTCGGTTCCCATCACAGTTTTTTTAAATATAGTTAGATGACCTATTAATTGTTCGTGAACTTTTCAAATTATTTTTTTTTTATTGAACGCTCGTCTTACAAACAAAACCCGCAACGAGTTGACTTCCATCAAAGAATTTACGTCATTTAAGCAATATCAGTAAGATTCGTATCTAAAAGAGTTTTGTAGTTTTGTTATTGCTTCTCGGCACAAGAAAACCACTGAACTGAAATATCAGTCTGACTTTAAAAGAAGAGTGACAGCAATTTATCCACAAAGAATTTCGCCGGTTAAGTCCGCACAGCTGGAAGATAATAAAACTTTGGTGTCAGGGGTCAACGTCCTGCTATTTGAGAATTTTGTTTTTCTTGGCAATTTAAGCGACTTTGTTGAAACTCTAAGTGAATCAAGACGAGTGAACGCGAGAACGCGAGAACTTATAATTGGCACAAAATCAATTTACAAAACGCCCACGTTCAATTCAATTACCCGCCGCGCGCGAGGCCCACGCGATGTTTACCTAGCGCGGTTGTACTAATTTGTTATTTGGCGGCATAGCATCCAAGGCTCTGTAAAGCAAACTGGTATATCCTGCGAATTTTATACCTTAAGCTCACCGAAACCGCAGCGCGAATCTTAACGATTTGCCGAAAGTCGCATCGCCCTGGTAGGTCTAATGTATTTGAATTCAACGTAATTTTTCTAGGCAACAAATGCACTGGAAAATAGCGGAATCAATCCCGGAGATGTGGTAAATAACGTCCAAAATGTTGTCAGAATCCATACGTACAAGAGGTTGTATTCCAGAAACAGCGCGAAATTCGTGCGAATCCATCGCGATAAAGTGGACGGCATTGGAAACAAACACGATCCCATCGGTAAGTCTTTTACCATCGATTTCTCCTTCCGCCGAACTCTTAGTCTGGATGATGAACTATCATAATAGGGCAAAGAAAATCTTAATCGAATTTCATGGACAGTTCAAAGTTGAGCACGGACGAATTTTGGCCAGATTTCAAGGGAAATTTTATGAACTGCGACTGCAAATGTAAACATCGCCGCCGATTTTAAGTGACACTTAATAACACAATTTTGCAAATTTCCAATTTTTATGAAATAACTGATACCATAGTTGATTGATTTTTGATGCGAATTTTATTTAACTGTACAAAAGTGCTTCCTCTGTATCCAACCAAATCTGCAAACTTTCGTTTCTGTCGAGCGCGATTTTTTAAGCAGCGCAATTTTCTCTTAAGAGCGTGACAAAACAGCAGACTTTCAAATCAACGTGCATAGTTATTCAATTTGCTATGCTAAGTTGTCACGATATTATCATTTGTTTTGCAGTTACGATGAAGCTAGAATCTATGGGATCCCATGGTCAGGTTATATTGAAGTCGTATGATGGAAGTGTCTGTATTTGTCTGGACAGAAGCGGATCGGTGGTCACAAGAGTAAGTCCTTAAAGTTTTAATTTTTACTAATTCCGACGTAGAATGATGACCACCAAAATGTATCAGCTGTAATTTTTGGTGTAACGAGAGCTTCGTCGTACAGTAGAAACAAGCAAGAGTTCTCTGCTGGAGAGGAATTGTTGTATTGTACAATCGGAGAAGTGGATAAAGTAATTGCGAGTCTAGTGAAGGATCTTGTTGTCTCAACCGTATTGTAAGCTAAGAAGTAACCCTCCTGTGGCGGGGCATTTAAGGGTATTATCGTAAAGAATCAGGCACGACTCACTTGGGTGATTTGGCGATATTTTAAATCATGCTGCGCGAAACAATGTCGAGGAAACAGTTATGGGGTGTTCCAACCAAGCTGGGCGAGGATTTCTCACGGAAATTACACAGTCGTAAATTACCTTATACGGATTACTGATTCCGTGTTGACAGTGCCCTCGACACAAGAAATCACTTGTTAGTGTTCAGGAGCTTCTAACTCCGGATGAGCTTCGCGAACTGCATTTTTTTATTGCGGATGTACGCAAAACAGGAAATTTTTTTCTCAAGTTCAACTTATTTCAAACAGCCCTGCCTCATTTAGACTGAGGAGTACGCGTTAACTGTTCAGAAAATTTCATTCGAGAGAGCAACCGCAGACAGGAAAGTGTTTGGAGCGCAGCCTCCCGTGAAGTATTAAACAAGATCTGAGAATCAATACCGGACTGGATGAGATCGAAAAGTAATACGGGCAAATCATAAACCACCACATACCCCACACACAAGCGATTGGATTGTTTTTTCAACATCGATAGCAGATAGAAGTGTAGTCAAGAGCTTTGAAATGAATGCGAATAAGGTGTAGGGGTGTTCGAGAACGTTCGTTCACGTACGGATGTACATACGTGATGGATAAGCGAGAGGGATGGGCTGCGAGCGAGTTACACCCGCCTCAAAGGCTAACCTGAAGAAAGTGTCAATGAACTAATCAGTGAATAGGGACAACGATGAATCATCGTGAGACAACCACCTGAAAAGGTGCTTAATATCGATTGAATCAGGGTCTCTTAACCTTGATTGAACGATTAGTCGGTGTCTGATAATATCATACCAAAATGCCTAGACAGATCATATCGTCTGGCCTTGGAATTAGCCAACGTTGCAAGGGCAAGCTATCAAGATTTTCACACTAATGTTTGAGACGAATCCTGTCATGAAACGAAGATCGAAATGAAGTTTTCCCAAAAAGAAAAAGAGAAACAACTCTTTAGGGCGGTATTGTTCAGAAAAGCGATGAATTAATAGGGCAAAACTTTTCATTTCCGTTCGGTGGTTGTCACGCCATGAATAAGGTATCTATTACTGTACCTGAAAAAAGGTTTTCTATGGTCAGTCTTTCACAATATGGACTCACCTCCCAAACTGGCAATGTATATAAACCAGATAGGATCATCTCCACTGAAGTACTGACATTAATAACACTTGTATTATTTCACAGCCGTCGCATCAAGTGAAGACAGACCTTGGTTGCATCTTTCATCAGGAACACACGTCTAAGGGCTACACGCGGTACAGATCAAAACTGAACAAACGGTGGTATCTAGCGATCACCAGGGATGGAAGAACAAAGTCAGCGAAAAAGGTGCGCTCGTCGCAAAGATCAGTGCAGTTTATAGAATACACCATATAACAGAAATAATGCTAAGAGTCTTTAGGTTATTTATTTGAAATTCAGAAAAATTATTTAAAGTATTTATTGCAAAAAAATTTCATTTAGTATTTATATTGTAACAGAAGTTACTCCATTCGTGAGAATATAATTTTGGATTTTTTGTTATCATATGAACACATTTTCGTAAAAAAAGGTATATTTACCTGAAAATATTAATTTTACAAGGTTCTTTAAAGGAGAAACAGAAAAAAAGATGTAATTTAAGTGTTCATATGAACTCACTTTCGTAAAATAAGGTTTATTTACCTGAAAATATTAATTTTACAAGGCTCTCTATGGGAGAAACAGAAAAACATGTTCTTAAAATGTTCATATGAACTCATTTTCGTAAAAGAAGGTTTATTTACCTGAAAATATTAATTTTACAAGGCTCTTTATAGGAGAAACAGAAAAAAAGATGTTATTAAAATGTTCGTATGAACTCACTTTCGTAAATGAAGGTTTATTTACCTGAAAATATTAATTTTACATGGCTCTCTATGGGAGAAACAGAAAAACTTGCTATTAAAATGTTTCTGAGATATCTTACCGAAATATAATTTAATTTTGTATATTGAATTCTACAAAGTATTCGATATTCGAGACAAAATTATTTTCCTTCCCAAAAGGAACCAAAAAAATGCTTCGAAATAGTTTCAAATTAATTAGTCACGCATTCTTGTCTCAAATATAAAATAACTGACAATACCACATTATTGGTACATTTGAACATTGTTACATGGCCACTAAATTAAAATAGTTTGTTGACTTAGTCTAAAATTGTCAAATTGTTTATATGCGAGATTGTATTTATTGCCGATTATTTTTAAATATTTATTAACGTCTTTTATTTATTTAAAAGTTATAACTGTTCATTTTATTTCAACGAAAAAGCCTTACAAATATATTTATTTTAGAATATATATTTATAAATATTTTGTAATATTTGTATTTATTTATCTATAATATTTATATAAACAGAGAGTAGAAATTTAGGAAATAATTGTAACAAGATTTTAGCTGATGATTAAAATAAATATTTATTTTAGATCACAGAAATGTTGTTTCGTTTTGTTTGACGGGTCTAAAAACTTCGCTATTTAGCTCTCGATTGTGTTTGGAAGAAATACCGTATTTCCTCCAATCAGCGCCCACGCTCTTAAACTCCGCCTTCAACTCTGCCTTCCCCCGTATAAGCCGCCACC